GTCTTTTTGAGACAGGGTCTCGCTATGTAGTTCAGGCTGGCCTTGAGTTCACTTTGTAGCCCAGGCTGGCCTTGAACTCGCAGTAATTCTCCTGCCTCACCTCCCGAGTGCTGGTATTACAGGTGTGTGCCACCCCGCCCAGCCTGGCCCACTTTATTTCTGAGATGGAATCTTGCCAAGTTGCCCAGCTTGGCCTTGAACTTTCTATCTTGCCTCAGCTTCCCCCTAGCTGGAATTACAGGCATGTACCACAATGCCTGGCTGTAGGAGCATTCTTGTACAAGTCTTTTTGTGGCGATTTCTTTCATTTTATGGAGGAGTAAATTATGGATTTACCCCTGAAGGAGAACTGATGAGAGTATGGGATTACAAAATAATGTGTAAGAGCTGGCTCTGTCTGTATTTCCTTTAGTTTTCTTATGAGTAGTACAGATATACAATCGTATCACCTGCAAATAAGGATAATGTTACATCCTCTTTCTTCTTCATGTATTTCTTTCTTTCTCAGCTGGCACTGACTAGCAATTCCTGAATATTGCTCAATAATGAAGATACTGGTGTCTACATCTTCCTCCTGATTTTAAGGAGAACAGTTCTAGGTTCATCATTAAATAAGCTGCTGCATTTTGACTTCAGGTGTGTACTTTTATCATGCTAAGGGGGTATTCAATAATTTCTATTTTATTGATAGCTTTTTTATCTGAATAGATGTTGAATTTTATAAATACCTTTTTAGAATATCTGGAGATGATTTCATGGTTTTTCTCCTTTATCTGTTAATATGGTAAATAATATCCTCACTTGGTCTAATCTCAGCACTGTACTGATTCTTCACATTTTAGAATAGTAAAGATAAAAATTTTGATAATACTGTGTGAATCTGAATATAGCTAGGCAGGAGCCATTCTTATATATCACTGGTGGAAACATAAACTGGTTATTAGAGGAAACACTGGCATATTTACCAAAATTCAAATGCTTATAAACATGTTATTCATTGTAGCATTATTTATAAACAAAAGTTTAGAAACAATCCAAATGCTCATCAACAGGGACTGGTTAATTAAATTGCGGTAAAGCTGTGCTCCCTAGTGCTACCCTCTGTAGCTATATTAAAATAATACAGAGTGGTATGCCAAGTGTTCCATAATACTGTTCTGCAATATTCAAGCTGCTAGTAAACGCCTATATACACTCTGTGTAAAAAATGGTGGAGAGATGTGCTTGTCCATGTTTACACAAAGATGCTCAGGGAAGATTCATAATAACATAAAGTTAGTGGATGTTGACTTAAGAAGGTGTAAATATGAGATGAGCGCTAGGATGATGGATGACTAGATGAGCTTTTAATATTTTTAATAGTCTATTACCTATATAAAAAAATTTAAAATGGAAAAATGTACATAGCTCATGGCCCAGAAATTTCACTCATAAAAATGTACACTACAGTTTTACAGTGTAAGCAAAGACACACAGTACAAGAACATTCATGGAGAAGGTTCCTAGTTGTGTAACCAAAACACCCACGTGTCACTGGAAGTTGGTGAAATAAATTATACTGGAGTGGGGAGTAGCTTCCAAGGTATCAGCAACATTTCACTTCTTAAAACTGGATGGTGGTGCCTGGATCCATTTTAAAAATGTCTTTCAAATCTTTTATTTAATAAATAACACCTCTTCCCCTGGAGAATGAACCCAAGGCCTTCACATTAAGTTACATCTCTAGCCATTTCTTATTTTTTTTTATGTAGCAACAGGGTCTCACAAGTCCTTGAATTACCCAGGCAGGGCGGAAACTTGCAATTCCTCCTACTTCACCCTCCCAGAGTGCTGGGATTACAGGATGTACCATCATGCCTTGCTTTTAATAGATAACTTAAAAACTATAAGTATCTATTCAATGAATATTATGTGGCTGTTAGGTCTATATAGGCAGGTATGTAATGATGTGAGAAACATTGGTAGGAAGAACTGAACAGAAAATATGATGCATGCTTATGCTTTAAAAAAAAAGAGGACCAAGGATGTAGTTCAGTGGTAGAGCACCTGCCTAGCATGCATGAGGCTCAAGGTTTGATCCACACCATGACCCCCTGAAAAAAGAAAGAAAGAAAGAAAAGGAGGAAGGAAAATGTTATACATAGAAATTTCTAAGAGGACTTACGGTAACAGAGGATAGGTCTGGGGAGAGAAACTAGAAATCTGGGATAGAAATAAGATTTTTCATTGTATACTTTCTCAATCAGTTTGAATGGTTTCTATACACCCCTTCAAAAATTAAAATCAATTTACAAAATCCGACAGGCTCATGCTTGCTGAAAAGTGAGTGTACTCTCAAGATAGCTCACCCATGTCTTCTGGGAAGCTGTGTCCACAGGGCTGGCCCCACTCACCTCAACTGGCCCCTCCTGTGCCTCCTGGCTAATGCACATTGTCCCCTCCCCAGGCTGTGGGCCACCCCCACCCAGGATGAGCTACTCACTTCGGCTCGTGAGGAGGTCCGGACTGGTCGACCAGCTTGAACTCAGCAGCGAAACCGTGCGAGCGGGCGTACTCCAGCAGGCCGCCCACGGGGTTGGTGTTCAGGTACCTGACGAGCTCACTAATCCTCCGGATGTTGTTGGGTAACCCTGACTCCAAGGTATCAAGTGATTCCGAGTTCGAACCTCCGGACTAGAGGAGAATTAGCCAAAGAGGAACCAGAATCACATCAGGAAACTGAGGGACTCATGGGCGATCCTATCGCGCACAGCTGCTAAAAACTGGGAACACCTAAGCAGGAAAAATGCCCCACCTGGTTGTCAGCCGCATTGGTTGCTTCCTCATGTAAGGCCTTCATGGCTTCCTCTGCGGCCATCTGCTTTGCTACCTTCTTGCTGGGGGCACTCACGGTGGGGAAAGTCTGAGCTCCTACTGCAACACAGTACTGGAACCTGACAGGAAATGAAGGATAAGGGATGGAAAGGATGGACTGAGGTATGTCTGGCTTGTCAGACTGAGCCTCTGCTACTTGTCATTTCACTCAAGCCAGAGCTCCTCACCACCTCCTGCCCCCAGTGGCTGTTAGCTTGGCTAACTCCCTCCAACATGCAAATACCATCCTAGATTCACCTCTGGGGACTCCTACTTTGTCCTCGTCTTTTTTCTTTTCTTTTCTTTTGGTGCTGTGATTGAACCTAGGGCCTTGCACATGTTAAGCAAGGACTCTACCACAAAGCTACATTGGCCCTGGGAACTCTTTCCTGGCACACGTACGTCTATAGCTACTCAAGCAGAGCTGTTCAGGCAGGCTCTATGCCAACCCTTCCCACCAACAGGGAACTCCAAGCTGCGAGTCTTGCTAATGCTTGGTTCCTTTGAACTCCTAATCTCAGTCTCTCTACTTTACAAGCAGCAACCAGGTCCAGAAGGGCCCCTCCCCCTTTCCACACTAAAACAGAAGGAACTGCTCACTAAAGAACCGTCCACCTCTGAGGGGAGGAGGAAAATGTGTCTTGTCTTTCTCTTTGAGAAAACCTTGGCAGAGAGACATGGCACATGGACGTACTTGGGGTCATGGGCAGGTCCTTCTTTGGACAGGAGGCGGAATTCACAGGAGTTCCCCAATTTGTGCATACACTCGAGCAATGTCGTGACAGGGCTCTTCCCAGAAAACAAGGATGAGGCTGAATGGGTTGGGGGTTGGGGTTCTTCTATCTGGAGAAAATTAGAGATAAGAAGAAAATACAAAACAAAAAAATAAAACTAAGAAAACACTTGTCAGTCCAGCACAGCAGACAGGGTAAAATGGGAGCATTTCTTCTGGACAGCACAATGTTGGGGGCTGGCTGTCCAGCAGAAGGGGGCTGCTGTGGATTGCTGAGGCATAGCAAGAAGGGAAGATTATTCTCCCAGAGAGGCTGATGAGCCTGCAGGTGTCTTTCGTACACTGCGGAAATCCAGTCAGGTGGGGATGGGAACAAAAAGGAGCTGCGTGTGGAGGAAAGGCGGCTGGTGAAATGGATGCTGCCTCAGAAAAGCAGTGAGTTTCTATATCGGGAGTGCTTCCAAGGCCAGTTAAAACCCTGACACACTCCAGACATCAACCCTGAACCAATGTCCCCAGGAGAGCAAGACACCGACCTTCTCTAACTCCATCTCTGTGGAACAGAGGGGTAAATCTTCAGGCTTCCCGCTGTCCTGAGCTTTGGCTTCACGGAGCAGAATTGTCATGGCTTTCATGGCTGCGTCCTGCTTCGCCACTTTCTTGCTGCCAGCTTCGGCTGGGGGAAACTCGCGACCACTGATGACAACCTGGTATTTAAATCTTGGTGGAAAGCAATCAGATCTGTGAACCCTAGGCCACATCCGCCCTCTGCTCTTTCCACAGCAATGTCCACCCCAGAATGTTCTGCTGGACTAAGGACTTTCTGACTTGTAGAGGAGATGGAGGGTAGGCCCAGGAGCTGCTATCACTTGGAAGGTCAGCCTGTCCCATCTTTTTATTTTGGTGAGGATGGGGAATCAAACATAGGGCCCCATGCATGCCAGGCAAGTACTTGTTCTACCACTGAGCTAAACCCTCAGCCCTATTTTATTTAATTTTTTTTTATTATGAGACAGTTTAAATTATGAGTTGTTCGGGCTGGCCTTGAACTTGTGATCCTCCTGCCTCCATCTCCCCATGGCTGGAATTATAGGTGTGTGCCACTGTGGCTGGATTACAGTTTCTTTGGGGGACAAAGTAACTAATGACTCTCGTCATATAGCTCAGTGGAGCAAGCTCAGCAACAGGAGAGTGATATAAAACTTGCCCAGGGGAAACTTAACCATCTCTTAGCCATAAAATAAGAGGAAATCTGTGTAAGAGCTGAGGGGTAAAATCACCACTATAGTCCTGTCAACAACCAGAAGGCCTCCAGCCTAGAGCAACTGTGTTGGACCGGCCTCCTCAAGGGAAACCCTTAAAGAAAGCAAAGGGCTAGAGATGCAGCTCAGGGCTAAGATGCTTGCTTAGCACATACAGGCCTTAGGCTCAACCCTAGCACTGTGAGACATAGCAAAGGTCTTGTACAGCCCAGTCTCACATACCTGACACCTGCCCCTTATCCAAGACCTGATAGGTCTGGAGGGGGTAGAACGGCAGCTGGATATGGGATATAGGCTATAGAAAATCCATATCCTATATGGATATAGGCTAGTAGAGTGGGGTGGAGGGACCTAACTTGCCCTGAGAGTACAACACTCTTCCAGCTTGTTTTGTGTCATCCTAGAGCTCTGCGTTTATCCCAAACCTGAGATGAATGAATCTTCCTTCTTATGCACAAAACCAAAAAGCATTCACTCTAGGCCTCTGGACTAGGCCTGAGCAGCTTTTCTTCAACCTGTTCAATTCTTTGGAAGATCTGAGATTTCACTGAGAAAAATAGGTCAAATTTCTTCTTTCCTAGGTCTTCTGAAATACTTGAATACAGTACTAATGTTTCTTACAGCTGACATCCAAAGAATTACTAAATACAAAACCCATGGTGTTCTCTCAACACTGGCTAGGAGGTGGGGAAAAGAAAGAGAATGCCAGCCACCCAGGCTCTTCCCCAGAGACCAACCTGTCCTGGCCCTGCCAGCTTTTAGGCCGACGCATTCTCTTTTCTCAACAGCTTCCCTGCAATGCTAACTTGGTGTCACGAAGATAGATAAGGAATTAGGGCCACAGCTGGGAATCTTACCCAAGAAACCAGCCTGCATATACACAGCCATGTGAATAAACACAGAAATTTCTGGTCAATGACATTTCAGCCAATGACAGATCACATATACAATGGTGGTCGCATAAGGTTATATTGCCTGGTGATGTAGCTGTGTCAGTTTTTCTCCATCTTTGCACAATGATGAAGCTGCTTAAAAAGACATCTGTCAGAATGTACCACCATTGTTAAGTGACACATGACCACGTAAAGGTTGGTGGCATATCCCATCCTCACTGGTTATCTCTAGCTGCACCCTGCTGCCCCTCAGCACCAGTCTCTGCCAGGCCCACCTACCTTCCTCAATCTGTCCCCTGACCTGTGGGACCATCTGATGCAAGGCTTAGCCAGCTGTCTGAGTGGGGAACCTCTGGTTTCTTAGTTCAGGAGCAGCAGCAAGTGCTAGCCCACCTATCTGTGCAGAGGTGGAGTGTAAAATTAGAATCACACTTTAACAGGCAGGTAGGCAGCCATGCATGCTCCACACCACCCTCGCCCTGCCCGCTTTCACAGTCAGCACAGTTACCCTCCTTCAGTGTGTGCAGCCTGCCCCAGCCCACCTGGTCCTGCACCTGTCTCAGGATCTTAGCTTGGAGGGGGAGGGCAGAGTACACAGGAAGGGTGGGAAGGGAGTTCAATCTCTGTCACGTCTGGACACCTTAGGAGGCAGGCATGACACAGATGCAGGAAAGCCAACTGTGACTAGAGAAGCTTCGTTTCAGCCAATAGAATCAATCTCCTCTTTGTTCAGCCAAGATGCTGGCCAAATCCCTGCTCATTATCTGGAGAAGGGCCGAGAGAAGGTGATTTAGCCCAAAGGCAGAAAAGGAGGAGGAAGAAATGGGGCCACCAAAGAGGCCTGCTCACAAGTCAGCCGAGACCGCGTCCAGAGGCGAGTGCCTGACCCCAACCCGTGGCACAGTTCCTGGTCTCTTACCGAGGTTCATGGGATGGTCCACTCTGCTCTATGAGGTTGAACTCACAGGTCTGACTAGCGAACTGTGCATACTCTAACAGCCCGCTGACGGGGTTCTTCAGCTGGCACTCTGTCAGCTTCTTGTAGGGTGAACACCGTGGCAAGCCAGGGCTGTAGAAGGAGGGCATCTCCATGATGGCTCGGAACTCACCTGGTGCTGCGCGGATACTGTTCAAGTCATCGGGGATGTCATCTGTGGCCCACTGGCCATTTTCAAAGTCAATATACCTTGCTCTTGAGTGGTTATTGTGATAAAACGATGGTTTCAGTCTCATTGGTCCTGGTCGGGCCTCTTCTCTTTCTAACTTTATGACAGGTTCCTGCCCATTCTCCACTTTTGCTGTGGCCATAATGTTGTTTGAAGCATCCGACGGGGGTAAGTGATAGGTGGGGAGCGTGGCATTTCTTTTAGTCTCAGGGACAGCAGGCGGAGTGGCTGCAGGGACACTGTGCAAATTTCTCCTGATGTGCATCTTCTCACGCTTCTTGTCGGTCAAATACCACACGGGAGGTGTTGTCCCTTGCCTGTAGACATCCCCCTGCCTCTCCAAGTCAATCAGCACTGCATTCACATCTCGGGCCTTGGTGAGGCCAATATTTTTAGCCAGATTCAGGGCAGAGGAGTTAGACACATTAAATAGGTAGCTGCAGATTTTCTCCTTGATCTCAGCCATGTCAAAAGGCTCAGGAGGGTCTTCTAAGTTAGATATGGAGTTTTCGTCCTCAACTTCAAAACTAGGCTGTGGGTTTGGGGCTCCCAGGCTGTGATTGTCTGGTCTCACAATTTCATTGGGCTTGTTCCGGGTTTGAACTGAGACTGCAATGCTCCACAAAGGGGGTGTTCCTGTCCACTTCTGCAGCTTACCCTTCTTTGCCAGGGAGTATAAAATGTGATTGACTTCCTTTTTCGGCAGCCTGAACTTCCTGGCCAGATCACGTGCTGTGGTGGCTGACTGCTCTCCAAGTTCCTCCAAGAACTCTATGATCCTCTGCTCCTGATCCTGGCTGATGCTCAGTTTCTGGAACTGTGAGGAAAGCCTATCAACACCTCTCCATGGCACTCTGCCGTGTGGTGAAGTAAACTGGGATCCTACCTGGAGCCCTGGACTTTGGAAAGGCGTGATCTTGGGGACACCGCTAATCTCTAGTTGCCTGTCTCCAGCAGGTGGTCCTGGATGCCTTGGCAGGAATTCTGGGAGGAGTCCTGGGAAGAATGGTAGTGGTAGTGGCAGTAATGGTTTCTGTTTTATAGGCAGGGGCACTTCTGGAAGCCGGCCCCTGAGAAATTCTATTTGCTGGAGTTGGAAATTGTTAAGGTTCGGTGCTGGCCCCGATGGCTGCTGTATGGCCTTGTTATGTTCATGGTCCTGGCTGGGGTGGGAACGGTGTCTGTAGAGGTAATACCCCTGCGGGACAAGATGTAGGAAAGAAAGTGAATAGCGCTACAGTGGTACGCTGGAGACCCCACCAACCCCTGCCTGGGAAACTGCCCCTCATGCCTAGCTAGGGTGCCTCAGCCTCCTCAGAAATACTGACAAGGGGCTGCCAATGGGAAATGAAGCAGGAGAGAAAGCCCACGGGACTCCCAACAGCACACAGAGGTTCGGCTCCCTCAGCACAGCTTCTCCATGACCTAACTTATTCTCTCCCCTCAACAGAATTCAGGTGGCTGAGATGGACCCTTTCTACTTTTCTCAAAAATCCCTCTTGTAAAAATCAGGAAAACAAATAAATGGTTGTTTTGAAAATAAACAAAAATAGAATTATGAAAATGGCAGGGGAGTTAAGGAACTAAGGAATCAATGAGACCACCCTCCTTAAGTCAGCCTACCCACCCCCCAAGCACCCTTGTCTCTGAAATCTGTCACCCAGCTGGGCATGGTAGTGCATGGCTGTGATTCTAGCCATGCACTTAGGGAGGCTGAGGCAGGAGGATTGATGCAAGTTTGAGACCAGCTTGGGCTACACAGTGAGTTCAAGGCCAGCCTGAACTATATAGCGAAACCCTGTCTCAAAAAAACAAAACAAAACAAAACAAAACAAAACAAAACAAAACACCCAAACTGTCATCTGGATGACTGTGACAAAAGCAATGTCAGATAGCCCGCAGGGCATCATGCCAATTTTGTTATGCTTACAAAACCTAAAAGGTAACATCAGAAATAAAAACCTATGTGAATGTCAATGTAAATACAAACAGAAGTCCACTACAGAAATCATCTTTGCTTCAACTGTCATACCCAAAGCAGTCTCCACACATGAAAAGTGCATACTCCATAGAGAAGTATCACTCACACCAATAGCATGTATCCTGTCCTTTTTTGTAGGGCACAGTTGACATCTTTTTGGTTTTCTTGTGTAGTAGGTCTCTATGATGCTGCACCTGCCTGTTCACCTGTCAGCTGACCACTGTGCTCCACATTTTTGTGTGTGTAGTTCCCAGAGTAGAAACATTTTGTTTTTCCTCTGCTATAAATGATCTTGAGTCCCAGTCCCAACCTTCTAAGAAAATTTCTCCATACTTTGCACTTGTTATTTTCTTTGTAAACTATCACACTATTTATACCACACGTGTTTAGGACTGAGTAAAACACAACCATTGTCCAACACTTTGCGTCTGAAGTGACATCATAGTTGCTGCATAACTCATCCACAACATCTACTCTGCCTTTGGTTTTGTTGTAGAAAGTTACCATCTCAGGCTTCCTTCCATTTTGTCAAGGTTTCCCTATTAATAGTTCCATTACGGTGCAATGTTGACACAAGAGTACCAGTTTGTTTTTCTCTGTCATATACGAATCCAGTGTAATCTCTCTGAATTCCAAAGACTGTACTATACAATTCTTTGTTTTGAAATTGCAGTATTTCATTTGGAATTTCTGCTGTTTCTGTGTACAATTCCTATGCTGGTCAACTTGTGCTTTTAGCAAATGTAACATCAACTGGAAACTGGTAAACTAATCAAACGTCATGTTCAATTAGTTTGGGAGGTGGGAGCAGCAAGTCTGTTCACATCATTCAGTTTATTATTGTATGAAGGAGGATCTGGTGGCTGAGTTCCAGAATAAATTGAAAGCATAATATGTCTTCATATCTACAAGGGCATAACTTTTTATGCTGTATTTTGAAGGGGTTTTTTTGGGCATATACTGTGTAAAGGTACATCGACCACGAAGTGCTGCAATATGTGTTCATCAGTAGTCATGTATTCAGGTGGTATGTAAATTGCTAGACACCTACCTACAAATCTCTCCAACATGAGTGGATAGCAGCCAGATTATCAGTTATTTTTCTTTCTTGGCAGAGAGTTTTGTCATCAAACCTCAGGTAAAAACCAAATGTCTTCAGTGTCAAAATCAAATGTCCTCAGTGTCATCATTATTCTACAAACCTCAAAGCCACACCCATTGCTTTTCCGTAAGTCTTTAACATTCCTGTGATGACCATGAGAAAGTCCTGCAAACATAGCAGACCTATGATGCTTTCAGTTGAGTTAGTGAAGTGTCATAGTAAATACATTTTTGAGTATAGCTACTGCTGCATACAGAACATTTTACTTGTATTTCAGCATTTGCATATTTCAATTTCATAACATCTTGTAGTGTTTCATCTGTTACAAACAATTTCCAACATTGACTGGCGGTGCTGGCATTCTGTCCAATAGGTTTCACCTGTGCCAAGATCCTCACTATATGTTTGGACCTAGTTCTAATGTTGTATCATTCTATTTGGTTGCGTGACCATCTTGTGCCATTTTGACTCATCAAATATGTACTCACATTGCTGTTTTTCTCATCATCTCAATCAAGGAGGTCCACACTTCCTGTGTCTGTATTGGTCAATTCCTACTCCATTTCACCATCACGGGACCTTCGGCTCACAAGGCCGAAGTTAAAGTCATTATCATCTTCATCTTCCATGCATGAGTCCCCTGATGATTCACTTAATGACCTAAAACTTGCAAATCTGGTTTTTCATGTGCCATTGTACCTTACTGGGCTACTTCTACCAGAAAAGTCAAAATAACCCCATATTCCATTATGGTGAAGTACATGTTTACATAGCAGAATAGTGTGGGTGTATTTTATTCTCCATGATGCTCACAGAAACAGACATAAAACCTGTTAGACGGAGAATAAATGTTGACACTTTTACATGTGTGCATACACCTTGCCATTCTCATACCAAGTGGGTAAACACAAATATTGCTTCCTGTATCCCCTAGGCACAGCTACTGAGACAAGATGCACAGTTGGCTACTATTATGCTAAAATACAAATTTACAAAGAAAATATGGGCCAGGTTTTCTTAAAAACCCAATGTTATGTCCTGTGGCTAACTGAATGACCCTGTCCCCTATCCTGGTCTCCCAGGGTATAAAAAATTTAACAGAATGATCTCCGAAAGGCAAAGGGCTGCAGGACCTCAGAGACTCATCTGCTTGCCACTGGAGTCCCAGGAGGTCCAGAATTTGGTTTTAAGGAATCTGGAGGATTTCCTTGTAAAAATGGCACGATGTCCTCCCTCTTCTGTGTGGTACCCAGGCTCACCGGGAAGTGTGAAGCTGACGGGTCTATTCTTCCCTCTCAGCCCACCCTCCTCTCTTAGCTGCTCCAGTACCTGCCTCCGCTGCCTGACCTTCCGAACCTCGCTGTTCAGGTCACAGGAGGCCCCAGTTCTCATTCACAGCTGTACATTTTCCAGAACACCAAGCCACTGAGAACCTTCCTGCACTGTCCACTGGAGAGCAGTACAGATAGGAGGTGCTCATAGGAGTAGTGGGTCGACAGTATCCTTTACCTGGGGCTTGCACACCTGGGAGCAAGCCCTGTGTTTATGTCCCCTCCTCTAAGTCCTCTGAAGGCTGCAAGGCAGCTGTGCCCCTTTCTTCAACAACTGTAGCTTTCCAGTCCTCATGTCCCATCACAATGAGAAGACTTGAATGTTCTAGGCAGTCACTCTCAGGGGATCCTGGCTGTGTGGTTCCCTAACTTCTATGCCAGTGAACTCCACCTCCACCTTTCTGCTACTGTTTGGTTTGTCCAGTTGTTCACTCAATGCCACTGTTGCTTTAATCCAGGCCACCACGAAGTCCTCAAATCCTGAACATCTCTTCCAGTGGCTAGTGAGGATATTCTGGAAAGAGCCAGGTAAGTCTGCCATTCTTGTGCAAAAGCAGCCACACATGATTCATAGAACTTTATTAACTATTTACCATGAGACTTTATTTACAAAAACATGTAGAGCACTGGATTTGGTTGTGGGCTGTAGACTGCTAACTCTTGTTCTCTTCTGATGACGATTTCCCTATGTCTCTACAACTTCCATTCCTAACTCTGCTGGAACCTGCTCCTCATTGCACCCTGCCACTTTTATTTCTTCCCCATTCTGGCTTCATATAGCCTCACCCTGCCTTGAGCTCATGGTTGGCTAGGTTGATTTCACCTCCCCCAACCTGCACTAGCCCTCTTATACAACTCAAACCTGTATGATCTCCAGTGACTACAATCTGTACTTTGTGCAGAAGCTTAAGATCTGAATTTCCAATGACTTAGGTATCTGTCAGCTGAGATACCCTGCCGTAATCTCAAATGCCACATATTCTGAACCAAATTAATCATTTCCCTCCAAGACAGCCCCCTCTCCTGTTTTTATTACTGTTGATGGCTTTCTTCTCCTCTTAGGTTATTACAGCTAGAAACCTGAATCATCTCCACCGCCTGTCTACCCCCACCTCCCAAGGTCTCACCAGGTAGCTGACAAGGCCTGTCTTTTCCACCACCTCTATACTGTCTCTGAAATATGTCTTCCAATTCCAGCCCCTCATTACCACAAAGGTTCCTCTCCATAAACACCTGTTACAGCATTTACTTTTATCAAAGCTACTAGATTTTAAAATATAACAACGGTACACACAGACTACAATATATTGAAAAGTAATTAATAATACCAGGCTCTAGAAATTATGCTAACTTCACTCCTAACCTTCATAGCATAATACTTATGAGGTTGTAGCTGACTCTCCAGTGAGTTCCAGGGGAACAAGAACACCCCAGTCACCTTTGTTTCCCTAGCACCTGGTGAAAAGTTTATAGTGAACCAACATTTGTTGAGTTAATGGCTGCATGAACAAGACATCCCCACACACGCAATCACATCCCTCCTTTCTAGTCTTGTGTACCTAGGCTCCATATTGCTAGGAGCAGAGGCGACAGAGTATCCAGCCCACAGAACTGAATTACGGGAACTTTAGGGATTTTCTAATTAGCTCTTAAAGTGACCTTGGAAAAAGAACTCTGTTTCGGGCCAGTATGGTAGCACACAACTGTAATCCCAACACTTGGGAGCCTGAGGAAGAAGGATTGTCATGATTCTGAGGCCAACCTGGGCTACATAATGAGTTCAAGGGCAGCCTAAACTACATAGGGAGACCCTGTCTCAAAAAACAAAACATAACAAAACAAACACAAAAAGTAAAACAACAACAAAACAACAAAAACCCTAACTTTGTTTCAAGGTGGTGAAAGTCAATATCCAGCTATATCATTTCTAGATTTAAACTGCTACTCTCAGCCAAAACCTGGCAGATACTTGAGTGTCCACGTTTAAAAGAATTGACAAAGTTACAATACACTCATGCTGTGGAACAGTATTCACATGGCTTTTATAAATATGTGATAGACTTAGGAATATGTTAAATAAAACAACAAAAAAGGCAAGTTGCAAGGTAAATGTCTGTTATAATCTCTGCTACTGTAAACAAAGGGAGAACTTCGTGTGTTTTTTTTTTTCTCTTTTGAAAAAGGGTCTCACTATGTAGTTCAGGCTGGCCTTGAACTCACTTTGTAGCCCAGGCTGGCCTCAAACTCACAGCAATCCTCCTGCCTCCGCCTCCTGAGTGCTGGGATTACAGGCATTCACCAGAACTTCATGAATACACACACACACACACACACACACACACACGGGAAAAAAAAATCTATTAATAGCTACTTTAGGAGGTAGCAGAAGTAGAGGGAAGGAGATTATTAATTTTGTGTTCCCTACCCCTGGGGTCCCCTAAAAACCACGCTCCTCTTGAGCACAGTCATGTGGACAGCCGCTGAATGGTGGTCATTCCTAAAATCCTCAAGGTCACTTCTCTCCCACTTCTTGTCTATGTACTTCGCAAACTTTGCAACGTCATCTAACACGCATTGCCTCCAAAATTTCCCTTTAACTTTTCTATTTCCGGTCGAGAGACGCCCCTTGCCTTTACCACCTCGTCTTCCAGAGTGATACTCTGGTATATGTGAAGAGATGCTTTTCTTTCATGTCTGCTGTCTCTCATCCTTATAAAGAAGAGCTTTTAAAAATGTACACACATTAACAGTATGTAACCACTTTAAAAACTGAGGTGTGATTTGCATATAGTGCAGTTTACCCTTTTAATGTACCCTGAGTTTTAACAACCACGATGCAGAACACTTCCACTTCCCCCAGAAGTTTCCTCGGGGCCCTCGGCAGTCAGTCATATCCCCTCCCAGCCCTGGCACCCACGGATCTGTTTTCCTTCCTACAGCTTTGTTTTTCACAATGCCATATGCATGCACACAGTCTGAAGCCTCTTTAGTCTGGCTTCCGCTCAGCACCTCGCGTATGCGAGCCTGTGCGGCTGCACGTATGCGCGGGGTTGCTTCCAGGACGGCCATTTGTGTTTTCCGGTTTTAGCTATACTGAATAAAGCTGTTACAGACTTCCTCCTACAGTTTTTCGAGCTGGTTTTAGTTTTCCAAGGCTCTCCAGAGGTGAAAAGGGTGCCGGAAAGATTCCTAAGTGGTGAAGGCGGTGCTAGCCCGGCCGGGGAGGTGCAGAGTCGTGGGGTCTGCGGCTGGGAGGAGGCTGAGCCCCGCTACGTGGAGTGGCGGGCGGTTCCCAGCCTCCCGCGCCGGCTCTGCGGAGCTGAGGAGGAGAGGCGCCCCGCTTACCTGCCGCGGGTCCATGGCGCACACCCGCCGCGCATCGCCCCGCACGGGTCGTCTGCGCAGGCAGCAAGATGGCTCTGGCTCAATTTCGGTTTCGTTTCCTTGAAAAGCCGGCCTCCGGAAAGTTTGACAGGAGGAGGGGTTTGGGCTGAGCCGCCATAGCGGCCGCCCGCCTGCACAGCGTCACCCTGTTACAAACTGCAGCAGGTGTTACCAACAAGATAAAGCAAGCTGCCGGGAGCAGTGCAAGACCCACATCACCAACGACGGTAGCGCTCCATCAGCCTCCTCCCCGCCCCCCGCAAGGGTTAATTAACACTAAGCACGTGCCTTCTGTCCCTTGATCTTCACAACAGCTATGCCAGGGAGGCTTAAGCCCACTTCGCAAGTGTGGAAACTGAGGCCTGACTGACTCCGTGAAGCTGCTAACTCGGGCAGACTGCGCAGAAAGGGCACTTGTGGTTGCTACTCCACCCCCCTGGGCTACACCACCTGGTATTATGGAGGGAGGGCACAGTTCACTTCATGCCAAGCTGAGCTAACTGCTTCCTTCCAACTGGAGCTCTCCAGTTTTGCCTCCAACTGCCCAGGAGACAAATGTCCCTTCCTAGCAGCACCTCCAGCCCATGCCCTATGGCCTCTGTCCTCTCGACCATCCTGTCTGGCACTCCCAACTTTCACGTTCTCCAGAAGGCTGGGCTTAATTTGTTCTGTGCCTTCACACATTCTGTTCCTTGGCCTAGAATATATTTCTTTGCTGCTCCTTCTGGTGAAGCCATGTTTCAAACTAGGCTTCACCAACTGCACCCTGGGGAGGCCTAGCCTCGGAGGAGCCACTGCCTTTGCGGCTCCAAGTTCTCGGCTTCCCCTTGCTCAGCACTTCCCCCTAACAGGACCCTTTCACATTTTTGTGAAAGTGCCTTGTTTGATCATTTCACAAAACTCTCCTTGAGCACAGAACATGTGCCAGACACTGTCAAAGCACTGAGGCTCTAACACCAGAGCCAGATCCAGTGGCAGTCAGTCCGTCTGGGGGAAATTACCCTTATGCATGTACTGTTTATTTATCTGCCTTTCCAGCTGTCAGGCATTGGGGAGAGGGGACTTACATCCCTATGTTCCCCTGAACAGTGACCCTTAGATGATAGAGTCACTGGATAGTTGAATGAATAACAGCACTCAGTAGGTAAAACCATGGACAAAACAGTTGGTGAACTTCGTAGGAGTAAAATACAAATATCAATAAGCATACGAAAAAGTGCCTGACCTTGTTACATCAGGGAAATTCTCAGGAAAGCCCTAGTGAGTTACGACTGCCCAGCCACTGGGCAGGCACCATGAACACTCTGATCAGACCAAGAGAAAGCAAGGGTGCAGAGCAGTTCCTTATCACTTCAGGAAACCAGAATGCCCTTACCTGGGAAAGAGGACAGTGCATAGGCTCTACAGAGCAGCCACGCAGCCATCCCACTCTCCAAGCAGGATTCCGGAGAAGAGTCCACAGACACATCGTTTGTAACAGCTCCCAAATGCTGGAGACAACACAGCCACCAAAGGTAAAATGGTAATGATGGTGACAGCTCCCTGGGATGACACATTACACAGCAATGACGCTGAAAGAACTACTACCATGTGCAGCAAGGTGGGTAGGTGTCAAAGTACCACAGGGAGAAGCTGAGTGCATGCTATGTGTGGTTCCACTTACATCAAGTCCCAAACCAGGCAAAACCAAATGATGGCACACACTGCATAAAAGCAGGATGCTGACCGCTAGGGAAGAAGGAGGAAGTTGTGACTAGGAAAAAAATATATGGTGCTGGTTGATGTTCTTGTTCTTGACTTGAATAGTGGCTACACATGCGTTCTATTCAAATAATTCATTGTTATATTTTATTCACAGTTTTATACACTGTATTTCACAATTTTAAAAAGATAAAACAACCAGCTCTTCCTGTAGCACTGCACCCACCTCCCCATGTTCTTTTCTCCGTTTTAAGCAACCTGAAGCAGTCCTTACCTCTGCTTTCTTGTTCCGGGCTGGACAATCTGAAAGCATTTAACTGTTCTTCAGGAATGATCTGGAAAAGGTTTCATCCCAATTGCAGCACAGCAGTACTGCTGCCCTTGCCCTTTCAGTCTAATGTAGGATGGGCCACTGAGGCAGACGTGAGCAATTTCTTTCCTCCAGAGAGGGTTTGTTTGTGCCTTGGAGGATAACTAATGCTGTCACTTAATCTTAGCAGCTCAAGTAACTTAGCAGCTCAAGTAGACTTATTCATAAACCTTTCATCTTCTCCCCTCAGGAATTGTTTTAACTCCCCCAGGGTTGCAAGGTGGTGATGTAAATCTTTGTACTATTGTAGGGATTTAACAAGCTGAATGAAGCTCTGAAAAATTAACCAAAGGTAATTTCTGTTTACTGCAGAAATCTTCACAAAATACAGCTAATCTTCACCATTAGTCCTCCACTGTCAATTCACTGCTTCTTGCCTCCACTTCGAGGTCTTCCTTGAGCACGAAGGCGCCAGAGCACACAGGTGGCTGATCCTCTCCCACAGCAGATGTTCCTGTGGTAAAGCATGGCTCACGTCCCAGGTGCAAGAGGGCCTCCTGCAGGCCTTGGAGGGAGCCCAGCCACCATGTCTCACGTGTATGTGCCCCTAGGACTTCTTATTAGTAACTGCCCACATGTGTAAGAGGTGACTGAGGACCACTTTAGTGTTGGTGCTGCCAGCAGTCTAGCTTCTTCCACGTAGCACTGCCAGGCTCCAGCTCCTTAGACACCTTCTGGGCCAGACTGGGAAAAGATTTGTTATCAGGGCTACTGAGCTAGTTTTAGCTCCAGTCAATCCCTGCTCTTCTTACTTTTTAACTCTAAATAATGATTAGTCTGGCTTTGTAATTATTAATTTGGTTTGCTGTGAATTTTCTGTTTAACCTCACTGGTGCAGGGATGCATATTTACAACAGCTTTTAAGTCGGTAATTTCCTGTAACCAGACTGCTCTACACAAACAGGCTTCATCCAGTTGGTTCACTTATGTCCCTAACGCTAAAGCAGACGTCTGCAAACTCCTTCAGACTCATCTAGGAACACTGCTACGGGAATGTACTGCTTATGCACTTATGCTGCTTAGACTGCTCGCAACATTACCAGAGCAAGTAGTAAATAGGTATTTTCAAGTATTCCAGCATTATTTTAGAAGAGAATATGCACATAAGTAGACTCACATTTTCATCCAGGCTTTTAGGAAATGGGTAATAAGCAACTGATACAATTGGTATGCACAAACTTACAGGCCTCTTTTTGTATTTTTTTTTTTGGTCTTTTTGAGATAGGGTCTCACTCTGCAGTTCAGGCTGCCTTTGAGTTCACTTTTTAGCCCAGGCTATGTCTCAAACTCAAAATAATCCTCCTGCCTCAGCCTCCCAAGTGCTGCGATTACAGGAGTGCACCAACACACCCAGCTAGGCCTCCTTTTCTGTTCTTCTCTTCAATTTTTTCTTTTGGATTTTCTTTTTGCTTCTGTTTATTCTACTGAGTCATCTACTATTCCAGCAACACTCATTTTCGGAATTCAGAGTCTTCTCTGTAACTCCACTTGCTCTACTAACTTGCAAGGCTTCCAGAAGGCACAACAGTGAGATGTCTTTTTTTTTTTTTGTAATCAAACTCAGGACCTTGCGCTTGCCAAGCAGGCACTGTGCAGCTGAGCTATACCCCTGGCCCCTTAGAACTGGCTGTGAAGTTACAAGAAAGTGAAAAATGGGTCAGGGACCCCCAAAAGAAGCAGTCTCTGAAGCGGTTTAAGTGCTGTACTCAAAGTTATACAATAAATAAAAGAAAAAAGGTAGTATTTATCAACTATCAGTATGTGCAAGCATTGTGTTAGTATGTTAACCATATAATAAAGACACAGGATTAGTAATCATGTCAAAACAATATTTAAATAATGGCCAGCAGACCTGCATAGAATATTCCAGGTGCATATAACCAGTTAATGTACGTACATTTAATCTCATGACTACCTTACAACGGTGGCCTATACAGCTCGAGGCTTAGGCATCCAATCCTGCCATCTTAAACTGCCTGTCCTATGATAGCGTGGTCTTGTGCACAGAACATGACTGACTGCTGGTGTGGCTCTGGCCCACACAGAGAGGCTCAGCTACTGGCCAACAATGGGGCTCCACTGCGCTAGGACCCTAAAGCAGGCAGCTCCAATCCACCCTTGCTTTTTCTTCGTCTTTGTCCCCAACAGATCCTCGACTGCGAGTGGCCAGACTCAAATCCAGTTTCCTGAAAGACAATGTCCCCATCTGCACAGCTTATAGTAAGCAGAGGGGACAGTGTACTCCTACTCTAGGCAGGGTTGACAGCAGCCTGACTGGGCCTGGAGTTCCCCACTGTTTCCTGAGAGGCAGGCTGATTTTACTAAGAAGCAATTTGTGGAAAACCAATTTGCCAAACAGCCAATTCACTAAATAACCAATTTATGAGGCAACCAATACACTGACTGTACTTTTTTTCTCCCCAGTCTTAATTGACCAGTTTTCATATTGTCTTCATAATAGAATGTGGAAGAAATGTATGCTGGCACCGCCCTGAAGTCTGAGAGCTGGAAACTGAGGAGGAATCTGGGAGCGCCAGGGGGTGAGATCCAGCAGCTTCTGTGAGGTTTCTGCAGTAACTTCCTGGGAGTTGGCAGACAGCCACTTCAGTCCACAGTCTTCTTCCCAAAGGGAATTCGTAAAGCTTTGCCATTTCTCACTTGTCTTTGACTGTCTCCTTTTCAGTATTGACAAGTTCATAAAATCTCTACCTACGCTGAGAAGGCGGCCCTGCCACGTCCGAGTAGAAGTAATGTGAAGATGCTGGCTTTCAATAGCAGATGTGGGCTGTGCCAAGAACTGTCCATGGCTACCAGGAGCCGGCAAGGCAAGGAGTCGGGGGCTCCCCAAGAGCCTCTAAACGGAGCAGAGTCCTGCCTATGCCTTGATGTTGAACTGGTGGACTGATTTCAGATTTATGATCTCCAGAAACTGGACAGAATAAACTTTAGCAGTGTTTCGCCACCAGTTTGTGTCAATTTACTATTGTAGCCATA